AAAACCAAAAAGGAATGCAAAGAAATACAGGAAGATATTTACAATTTACAGGAATGGGCAGACAAATGGCTATTAGAGCTCAACCCCAACAAGCGTAAGGTACTGCAGATGAGAAATATAGATTGGAGACCAAAGAAATCTACACCATAAGGGAAAAGAAACTGGCTGAGTCAGGAAGAAAAAACGAAATTGAGAGTGAATATAAATCCAGCGGCGATGCATGTAAACATGACAACATCTCCGGCATTTGGGAAGATGGTAAACATTAAAACGGTATTTTAAAACCTCAATAAGAACGCTTTCAAAACAATCTATACAGTCTACATGAGACCAATACTAGAATATGTAGCACCCGCATGGAATCCGCACCGAGTGTGAACGCAAAACTGAACTTGAAAAAGTGTTGATGTTTTCAGCAAGATTAGTGCAGAAATTAAGAGGACTGAGATAAGAGTACAAGTTAAAAGATTTACATTTCATAACCTTAGAGGAGAAAAGGAACATAGGAGACAGGACCATAACATACAAGGAACTGAGGGAAATTGTGGTAGACAAAGGCCGCATTTTTAAATTGGGGGAAAAGTTAAACAAGAGGACATAGGAGGAAGCTGGAAACGCAAATTAGTTAAAGAAATGTAAGGAACTATTGTACCCTGTGCTGGTGGTCAACAAGTGGAAGGCACAGAAAGAAGTTCCGGTAACCTTCTCCATTCGCAAATATAAGGCCAGATTCGATGAAAAATTCAAACGTCAAGAAACATTATTCAACACGCAGCCAGGGGGGTAGAAATAGCCTAAGCTACTCTATCCCTTTGAGATGTATTTCTTGCTTATCTCAATAAACATACTTAAACTTGAACTTGAACACGCAGCCTGTACAAGAAGTCTAGTAGGCTGGACAGACAGTGCTAGGCCTCACTCCCCCGTAGTGGTCTGTTAGACAAGCACTATTAAGAACGCACACCGCCACCCACACCACCGCACGGCCTAAAAATTCAAGAGTGTCTAGTTCTATATCCGTTGATGACAGTGTTGTTCAAGATGCGGTGTAAGCCAGCATCCGGAATATAACCTCTGTCCGGCTATGTACAGCATGTCCTCCTTCAACCACAGTACAAGGCATGATCACCACATACAAGATTCTCAGGGGGAATTGACAGGGTAGATAAGGATGGATTACTCAACACGTGTGGTACACGCACAAGGGGACAGGTGGAAGCTGAGTACCCAAATGAGCCACAGAGTCATTAGAAACAACTTTTTCAGTGTCAGAGTAGTTAGTAAATGGAATGCACTAGGAAGTGATGTGGTGGAGGCTGACTCCATACACAGTTTCAAATGTAGATATGATAGAGCTCGAGAAGCTCATGAATCTGTACAACAGTAGATTGACGGTTGAGAGGCGGGACCAAAGAGCCAAAGCTCAATCCTCGCAAGCACAACTAGGTGAGTACGTAGTGACTAAAATATTAACCCATATTTGCCTGCGTCGAAGACTCACCCCATTTTGAACTGCCAATTATTATTTTTGTTTATTAACAAGCTCAGGTATACACAACAATGTGCAGCTACCCTATTCTGTATGAAATATTACACAGTGTAGATAAAAATCTAGCTATAAGTTCATCTAATATCCCCATGGGGTATGGGGTGCATAATAAAGAAATGAAATAAAATAATATCCCCATCTCACAGGATAGTTAGTCATACATGGAATCAGGAGAAAAAATACCTACCTCAATACAAAAAATAATTAAATTTGATTAAATAATAACTTTATGATTTTCATAAGAGTAAACACTGAATCACGGAAATATTATATTCTAATTATTTTTACCAGTTTCTATAAGATTCCTCTCAAATATTGTCTTTATTTTAACAAGCTTAGATATACACAACGATGTGCTGCTACACTATTCTGTATGAAGGACCACACAGTGTAGATAAAAAACCAGTTACAAGCTCATCCAACATCCCCACCTCACAGGACGGCCAGGCATACATGGAATCAGGAGAGAACATGAAATGTAAGGACCAGCAAAAAGCCAAATATTGACTTTAAAATAGCAAGTGCGAGAACGGGTCAACAATCTATGCCTTCTGTAATCAATTATGTTATAACGCTTCGATACGTGATGGGAATGATAATTAGATTGTTGAAGTATTTACATAAATATTTTAGAGAAATATTTTGATAATAAATGTTTGACAACATTGTTTTATGTGAGATATTTGAAGAAAAAAGTGGAAATAGACAAAATAGTCTTAGTTCCTGCGGGAGTGAGGGCCAGAACGTAGTAAATTTTAGAAAGAAAATGGTCATTCATGAGGATGAATGTCATCTCGGGGAAGCTGTGGTAGATTGCTGCCGGCAGCGACGCACCACTACGCTTGTGGTAGCAGCAAGTCCTTACTTTCTCTGGCCCAAGTCTGGGTAGCCAGGAGCGGCCACTCTCTCTCTCTCTCCCCATGACTGACGGCTGTCCCAGAGTTCCGGCTCTGTCTGGGTTTCCATGCCGGTGAGGGCAATCAGCGCCCCACAGCGGTTGGAATTAGTACTCTGCAAGTGTTTTCTGTCTCATTGACAACACTCCCCTGTACTGTCTCACAGTGACATCACTGCCTCGTAAGTACTATACTGTATATCCCAATGCTCTCTATAATACGTGCTGACTTCCTTATTGCTTTAGGAATGAGGCACTTAAATATTTTCTCAAACAAATGCAAGCATTCATAGTCCCTCATAGTGTGACAAGCGTATCTACGCAGTTATCGTATCAAAATCCCACGAACTAATACAAGGTAATCTAATCTACCGATTCTAATTAATCAATAAAAGCTTACATTTCTAATATTTATTTTAAAGAAGCATTTACTATATTTTAGCCCCGAGCGTAGTACATAAGTTACCTTTAGTGAGACCAGGTAATATATACAAAACGTTAGAGCCTCCCAGGGCCCAAGTGAATGAAATACTGTTAACAAGTTCAGTATGAATCCGGTTACTGTTAACAGGTTCAGTATGAATCCGGTTACTGTTAACAGGTTCAGTATGAATCCGGTTACTGTTAACAGGTTCAGTATGAATCCGGGTACTGTTAACAGGTTCAGTATGAATCCGGGTACTGTAAACAGGTTCAGTATGAATCCGGGTACTGTTAACAGGTTCAGTATGAATCCGGGTACTGTAAACAGGTTCAGTATGAATCCGGGTACTGTAAACAGGTTCAGTATGAATCCGGGTACTGTTAACAGGTTCAGTATGAATCCGGTTACTGTTAACAGGTTCAGTATGAATCCGGTTACTGTTAACAGGTTCAGTATGAATCCGGTTACTGTTAACAGGTTCAGTATGAATCCGGTTACTGTTAACAGGTTCAGTATGAATCCGGTTACTGTTAACAGGTTCAGTATGAATCCGGTTACTGTTAACAGGTTCAGTATGAATCCGGTTACTGTTAACAGGTTCAGTATGAATCCGGTTACTGTTAACAGGTTCAGTATGAATCCGGTTACTGTTAACAGGTTCAGTATGAATCCGGTTACTGTTAACAGGTTCAGTATGAATCCGGTTACTGTTAACAGGTTCAGTATGAATCCGGTTACTGTAAACAGGTTCAGTATGAATCCGGTTACTGTTAACAGGTTCAGCATGAATCCGGGTACTGTAAACAGGTTCAGTATGAATCCGGTTACTGTTAACAGGTTCAGTATGAATCCGGGTACTGTAAACAGGTTCAGTATGAATCCGGTTACTGTTAGCAGGTTCAGTATGAATCCGGTTACTGTTAACAGGTTCAGTATGAATCCGGTTACTGTTAACAGGTTCAGTATGAATCCGGGTACTGTAAACAGGTTCAGTATGAATCCGGGTACTGTAAACAGGTTCAGTATGAATCCGGGTACTGTAAACAGGTTCAGTATGAATCCGGGTACTGTAAACAGGTTCAGTATGAATCCGGGTACTGTAAACAGGTTCAGTATGAATCCGGTTACTGTTAACAGGTTCAGTATGAATCCGGTTACTGTTAACAGGTTCAGTATGAATCCGGTTACTGTTAACAGGTTCAGTATGAATCCGGTTACTGTTAACAGGTTCAGTATGAATCCGGTTACTGTTAACAGGTTCAGTATGAATCCGGTTACTGTTAACAGGTTCAGTATGAATCCGGTTACTGTTAACAGGTTCAGTATGAATCCGGTTACTGTTAACAGGTTCAGCATGAATCCGGGTACTGTAAACAGGTTCAGTATGAGTCACATGAGTTATTTATAACAACTCTATGTCTGTCTAGACCAGCGGGACCGGTTTGCCGTGAACATTCACAAGCCGGGGAAGAACATGACGGAAATAAGCGAGAGGAACATGACAGGTTATCAAGGGAGGAACATGAGGGAGACTATGCTTGCAGGCAGGTCACCTATGTCATGGTCACGGGAAGAACCTGATATATGAGTCGGGAATGTCACACAGTTTTCCTGGAGCCAAAGAGTTGATTTAAGGTTCCTGTATATAAATATTGGTTGAGGTCCCCCACAGTGATCATGTTTTGACTGTTATGTGGTATTAACAGGAAGTCAAGGTTGATCATTAGGAAGATAATGAAAGCGTCCTGATATTGAACTCTGTACATTGTACATATCACTATTGAAGTTCTGGGATATCTCTCTCTCTCTCTCTCTCTCTCTCTCTCTCTCTCTCTCTCTCTCTCTCTCTCTCTCTCTCTCTCTCTCTCTCTCTCTCTCTCTCTCTCTCTCTCTCTCTCTCTCTCTCTCTCTCTCTCTCCCTCCTCCTCCTCTCTCTCTCTCTCAGCGAAATATAATAGCCCGTTGCAACACACACCGAGACGACCAAGCAACACCCCCGGCCCACCACCCAACACCCCGGGCCCACCACCCACTGGGTGTCCCACCCTACAGAGCCCACCACACTCACCACCATCAGATAACGAGAAAATAATTGGCTGCCCTTCTTGGCAACACCCAGCCTTCCTCCCCCTGCATACAAGAGTGCGCAATAGACGACATGAACGTCATAATTCACGCCCGGGAGAAGAAATGCGAACCTATGTCAGCCTTGAAAATACTCGCGCAAACACTTGGCTTTAAGACATTAAAGCCCCTCTTCGTGGCCCGATTGTATTAGCCAATGCTCTGAGCACGTAATTGATGGCGGGAGGGAGCGAGGAGGCACCAGCTGGGGTTACAGAGATGACGGGGTTCGTATCCTGGTGGTCAAGGCCTCCAGGTGTGTGTGTGTGTGTGTGTGTGTGTGTGTGTGTGTGTGTGTGTGTGTGTGTGTGTGTGTGAAGAGAAATATATGTAGTATGTCGGGGCCCAGGAGCTAACAGGTCTAGTGTGAAAGCACAAATAGTAAACACACACACACACACATTAAACCTGAAAGTGAGCAAAGGTTTTCAGGAAACGTGGTGTCTGAACTAAGAGAAGTAATTAAGATATATGGAGAGGTTGACCATTATTTATTTATTTATTTTTCTACCACAGACGTGGCCACACATTTACAATGCTAACCAGCATATATTCATTTTCTTCTGTCCTCCATGGACAGGATGAGAGACCTATTAAACATATAGTTCATTGATTTATTAAACAATCAATCACAGAAGGTGATTGGTTGGGGATTGGCGAAATCTCACGACCCAAGAGGTAAGGTCAGGAGGTCACCTAAGCAAACTCTTCACCATCACTCACCTCCCTCTTCACCATATCCTCTATACCCTTCATCACCCTCACCACGGTCACCATCCGTTCTTCAACTCCCTCCGTGATGAAGTGGTTACGGTGCCCTGTACGATACTGGCTTATTTTTCAATTTCTTTTTTTAGTGTTTTTCAATTTCTTTTTTTAGTCACCGCCCACCCCGTGGGCGGTAAGGGTTACAGAGGCCAACAATCAGTGAGAACTGAGACAAATTGTTTCATAAGTCGGCAGCCATTGGGTACTTACACGAAGTATTACCTAAGCGAATAACGGCCATTTTATATACTTTAGAGGCATAGGCTACCAGAAAATAACTGGCAGTACCCAGGAAGAACAACTATGGTATTTTGTGTGATGTTCCAGAGGTCGGGCGGACATATCTTCGCAATGCTGACATTTCCTCTCTTCATCTGGAAACTTTAAGCTTATTTCCCAAGCAAATGGATATCCTAATAATATGTATGGTGGGAAGGGAAGGGGAATTTTCAGGGGAAAGCGCCGAGCCATTACGACTATATAGCACTTGGAAGGGGTCAGGATAAGGATTTGGGATGGGGGGAAGGAGGAATGGTGCCCAAGCACTTGGACGGTCGGGGGATTGAACGCCGACCTGCATGAAGCGTCCAGCCCAAGTGGTAAGTGATGGGAGGTGGTGGGAGGAGGTGACGGGGAGGGGCTCCTAGGAGCGTCTTGAGCACGCGTCGGGCCTCCAGCTACACATTGTGGCCACACACATCAAGAAAATTAGGTTATGTAAATATTAGGTCTGATAGTCGCACGTGACACGGCAAAGATGGGGCTGCTTGTGGAGGGTTGGTGGGGGGGGGGGGGCTGTGATGGGGGTCGTGGCTGTGGTGGTGATGGGGGTCGTGGCTGTGGTGGTGATGGGGGTCGTGGCTGTGGTGGTGATGGGGGTCGTGGCTGTGATAGTGATGGTGAGGGTGGGAGTGTCTCTGGTGATGGGGGGGGGAGGGTTGGGACTGCATTAGTAGTGATTGTGGTTGTGGTAGTGACGGTGAGGTCAACCATGGTCACTGGCCTACAGGTGATACAAATTTATTATCAGAAATCTGGACCAACAATTAATAACCAGCTGGTACACAACTACACTCTGCCCACTTCAAGACCCCGGGCCAACACAGAGACAGGACCGAATGACCATTCAACAGGAACGGAAGCAGCCACGAGAACATAAGCTGCCAACATGTCACTCTCTATGTTGATACAGTTAATACCTTATCAATATCCCCAATATAATGCCATTCATTCATATGTTACCTATATAACCACCTCACCATAAGAGGCTATAACCACGTGCTATGCACGATTGAAACCGTGCATAAAGCCAAATATATATATATATATATATATATATATATATATATATATATATATATATATATATATATATATATATATATATATATATATTATTCATAAATATTCTATGTATAGTTATTAAGCGTGGGTTAGGATAGATGTTTAGGTTCTATTGGCGATTATTTGAAGTACGTGGGAGAAGCACTTACAGCGTTGCGATCGGAACAGAGATCGTCATCGAAGCACTGTTTGAGAAATGCTCGAATGTCATCAGTTGTGAGTCGTGTGGAAAGTGTTTTTCATTGTTAAAGATGAGTCAGGTAGAGGGTGAGCCAGGTGGGTGCTGACTCACAGGACTCGCCCCAAACACCACCAACAATACCATTACCCGAGGGAAGAAACTCCCCGTTCTTCTTTCTATAATTGACTCAACTTAAGTGTCTCGAGTCTCGAGCCAATGTTCAGGGAAGTTTACCTTGCCAAATGACATTCCACTACCGGTGTTTGTCCCCAGAATTGAGTATCCTTTTAGCTTCAGCATCATGCATGTCCGTAACGAATGGCCAAGTTCCGTGGAACAAATTTGCTTGGCTAATTTTAGCACCTTTTTTCACACACATATACCGCCATTGAGTTTTTTGAGGGGTTTGTGTGTACCAATGTAAACACCAATATTTGCCGGGGGGAGGAGAGGTGGTGTGTGTTGACGTGGCGGGCGTATTTCACGGTTGGGGAGGTCAATTTCTTGCTGTCAACCTGGATCAATCCGCAGTGTTCTCACCCCTGCAACCCCGTTCTCAGGCCAGGTTCATTCCTTCCAGCGGTCGACCCCAAATACGCTTTCATAAATTTTAAACATGTTGTTCCTTTAAAATAGGAATTATCTCAAATATAAATTATTATTTTATATTAGCATATTGTGCATATTTAGGCATAGGTTAGGTTAGGTGTTTAGGCTCTGTTGACGATAATTTGTATTTGTAATACGTGGGTGAAGCATTTATAACGTTGTGATTCGAACAAAATTCGTCAGTGAAGCACTTGTTCCGGAAGAGTTCGAACGAAATCAGTTGTGTGTCGCGTGTAAACCGTTTTTCATTCATAAACAGGGGGTCGACCACTGGATGGAATGGACTTGGTCTGCGGACGGGGTTGCGCTCGTAAACATTGGTTTAAGGGCTCCTCTGAACATACCGTCTATATGGGTAAGTTTCTAATACAAAATTAATTCTTTCGGTGAAAATGAAGGCAGTGAAAATGTTCACTTTCACGGCTAGTGAGGCATTGGTCTTAAAGAGGTTGGGTCGGTTTGTGATATATTGGGATGGAATGTTTACATATGTTTATATATATGTTTGATATCTTTATGTATCATCTCTTTACATATGTTTGAAATGTTTACATATCATCTGTTTATGTTTCGAGTGTTTACATATGTTTCTCTGTGCTACATATGTCCCCCCTCCTCCCCCCCCTCCCCTTTGGTGGTGGTGTGGTGCTCCCCCCCCACTGGTCACTACTACGCTCTCCCGTGCTCTCATTCTTACATTCTTACTGCGCGAACAGCAACAGCTGATTATTCTTAGATCGAGGAATATGTCCTGAGGAATGTACACAATAAATGGACCTTTACCATTACAAATAAGACGTCATGACAATCGTATGGCTCTGACGGGGGCTGAAATGGTTGTGCGCGTCTCCTATCACCAGATGCACCTGTTCACCTAGTAGGCAGGACGGACATAGGCTGGCGGTGGTCGGCCTTAATTATATACCTTAAGAAATATCAACCTATAACTTAAAACCTCTCCCCCACAATCATTCGATTTTCATGATTTGAAATGAAATCGCGGATGTGTTTTCCATAGAGTTTACCCGCGCATTTTTCGTGATTTACTCGAAAACGGGTTACAGTGCTGAAGAGAGTGAGTAAAGAAGATGGTTACAGTGATGATAATGAGTGCGGAAGATGGTTACAGTGATATAAATAGAATACAGTGAAGATAGTGTGTACTGAAGATGTAAGATGAGGGGAGAGAGGGGTCAGGAGGAAGAGAAGATGGGAGGGGGGAGAAATAATGAGGGAGAAAGGGAAAGAGAGCAAGAGGGGGAAGAGGGGTGGGAAGAAGGAGGAGAAGGAGAGGAAAGAGAGGGTGGATGGAGGGGGGGGGCAGAGGAGAGGAGGATAAGA